GCCCCTTCCCCCGCCGGCGAAGCGGGAGGCGGCAGCGGCTCGAGTCGAAACCCTGCGGCTCCGGCTCAGGAGCCCCGGCTCCCTGCTTGGCAGGATGGCATTCCCGGTGGAGCAGGCACCGAGGCCGGAGCTCTGGCTGCCCCATGGCACGTGGGGCAGAGCGTGGGCTGGGGCGCCCATTGGCACTGGGTCTGCCCAGCACCTAGTGACAGGGACACCCTACGGAGTGGCCGTGCTGCCACCTCCTCAGGATACTCTAACATCTATTCTACAGCAGTACCGTAACTCCCTGCTACGCACCCCGAGTGGGCCAGTGGCAGGACCGGCATTGCCACCAGCTCCGGGAGCTGGCAGGGGTCTTGTCATCCCCCTTGGCTCCTAAGAAGACTCGGCTTCCTCACCTGCCCCTGCTTTGGTGGCATCACCCCATGCGCTGCCCTGTTTCTGCATGTGCAAAGCGCCGGCTGCTCGGCCCTCTACGGCTGCCAAGAACAAGCTGGGACGAGGGGAGAGGAATCAGCGCTAGCTTTAGCCTTCGGCTTTCGAAGCAGCAGGATTATATGAACTCTGCCTAAAAACGCGGTTCCGGAAAGCCAGGCATGCGGACGGCGGCGAGGGGGCCCCACGTGCCGAGCGCGCGGCCGGCCGTCCCGGATCAGCTGATGAGCGGAGCCGACCTGTCGTTCGTCACTGTGGGTTTCAGCTGCACGTTGGCAAAGGGGTTTCTGCAGAGAGAGAGGAAGGCAGAGTTTAGCAGGAGCGATGCGAGCACCGGGCACCTTTCTGCCACCTCGCTTCCAAGCTTGCCCAAGGAGTCGGCCCTCCGGCACTGTGGAGCGCGCAGCCGGGACCAGAGCAAAGGCCTTCGTGCGCACGGGAGCAGCTGAGGCTCCGAGCCCTTCGCAGAGGAGCAAAATGGCCGAGGAAGAGGCTGGGAGCTGGCGGGAGGAAGGGCTGCGGGTGCCGTCCTGCCCCTGCGGCGCTCCCGCTGCACCCGCACTCCTGCAGCGAGGGCTGCCCAGGGGACCTGGCTCAGCCCCCCGGCAGGGACGCGCTGCTGCCTGCGGCCTCCTTGCAGTGCGCTCGCTTGCTTTCTTCAAAGGATAAATCGCTTTTTTTTTTTGCTTAAAAATAGGGTAATTAATTTCCCACCTAATTA